ACTGAATTTGGTGTAAAAGTAAATTTTGTCGTATTATATTGAAATCGGTTCAGATTGGGATATGATTTCATTAAGAAGTATTGACCCACATCGCCTTTGCAAAGATATTAGTTTATCAGTAAAAAAAAACTACACAACAATTTAATTTAGGATACGATTATTAAGGGGAAGTATGTTGCTACCTCGATTCCTCTAATTGCAACAGAAATGCCACTCAACTTTTAAAGATTGCAGTTTCCTGCACGTTTGACAGTTGCTATGAAATTAATAAATCCGAAGGACAAACTCTTCGTATATGCTGTCTAAATTTGGCATGTCCCTGCCTTCTTCATGGTCAGCTTTGCTTGGCATGTTCACGTGTCGGTAGACCGAGCTATTTGTTTGCTTACGCATAATAGTATTACAATAATTACGTTTTCTTAAATTTTTGAATTTGTCTTAATTTGAATGCATACCAAATCAAGCGCACCGGGTTCAGCTAGTATCTTATATATCCTAGGCACACCTTTATCAAATTTGTCAAGATAAGTTTAGATTTGGATGTAGCTCCAATATATATTTCCCTCTAGTTTTATGTAAATGATAGACCAGCGACGCTACATTTTTAACAAACTAAAATCGAGTTCGAACTTAGCCAAAGTGCATCTGATCGGCATAAAACTTCAGATATCGTAATATATTTTGCATTAAAATGAACAAGATCGGAAAAAGAAGACTCTTTCCTTCCCTACAAAAGTTCAACATTTTAAATAGCCATTACTCTCATAAAGCAATAAATTGATCCTCGTTTTTCCATGCATGTTCCAATAATTCTATTAACACTAGACTTGAAATAAACGTTGGGGTTATCAATTGGTTTGAAACCTAGAGAGGTGTGCAAATCGATAATATCACCCAAATCCTTCTGATACATCCCTCACAAAAGGTCAAAAGATTTTGTAGAACAAAAACTCTTAAGAATGTTTGGAGCTTAATTCCTTAATTTTTAACTTCGTTTTCCTTTTTCATTTCTCAAAATTACCATTCAAATATTTCTCCTCCCAAAGTTTTCCAAAACTTTAATCCTTCCATTGACCCTCGCAGAGTTAAAAATTAACTCCCTTTAAAAGTCACATTTGAAGAACAACTATACGAACACGTAAATTAACAGCAAAAGAAAAAAATGCTACAAACATAAAACTTCAACAAAAGTGATTTAATCTTTTGCATTGACATTAAAATGAATTTATTAAAAGTTGAAATGCCACAAGGATAAATTCTAACCGTAAAACAAGATGAAAGTTCATCCTTATGGCACAGTCAACGGCATAACATGCGATAATTTTATGCAGTTTCATACACATGCATGTCGTCATCAAACCTTCATATAAATGCATAGCGAACACAGAGAGTGTCATACACAACGACATACACATACAACAGCTATACTCTACTTTACTGCTACCGAAAACTATGCAGTTCCATTAAAAAAGTTTACAGGTGATAGCGATGTTACATTTCTGTGAAAACCAACTCGGATATCAAGTAGGTTTACTGAAGATGAGTGTGTTTGTGTTTCTTTGCGAGATTCGGTTTGCCCTCGTATCCAGCCAAGAATGTTCGTATAGAGTGTTTTATGTTTACTCTATGCTATGTTGTGTAGGTAACTTCCATTAACTTTTTGTTCCGCTGTTAAGCGTCGAGAATGAGAATGTCGTTAAAAACAGGTGTGTACAAAATGGCGTTTGTTGAAGACATTAGGAATTTATTGCCATTTTTGTAAAATTGCAAACAACTATTGCGAGATTGTGTGAAATGCAATTGAACATAACTCATCTTGATAATAAAAATAAACGTAGTTTAATAAGTATATATGTACACAAACGTAGATTAGGGAAAGGAGCCGCTTAGACGTTAAGCGCACAATGAGTTGAAAGTTTATTGAAATTAAAACAAACTTGTGTGGAGCCGGGTTGCACAAAATCAAAACGTACGTCCACTCCATTTGGGCTGATATTAGCCATTATTTGCACAGTAAGCTTGAAATCGAATTAAGGATATATGTGGGAGCTTGGATATAGCTCCGTTCTCGATAAAATTTGGCAAAAGTATTTCCGAGCTTTATAATATATCTGTTACCAAATATCATTGTTGTCGAATGCATATTACGAATGTAAGGGACTTAAACACCAAATCGTATGAAACACATATATGGAAGCTATAGCTATACCTGAACCGATTTTGTCCAAATTTCATGTACTTGGTCCTAGACAAAATTCGGCCAGATGTGCCAAAATTCAGGACTTTTTGACAGATATTGGGAATTCGGTGCAGAATTAACACTAAATCGGTTTAAGGATGTATACAGGGTGAGATAAAAAAAAACTGCAACTAACTTTAGACTGCTGTCATTTCTAGCCACACGTCCGACAGCTGTTAAAATTATTCTAGTGACGGCTCATTATATTGTCTACAAGCGTTCAAAAGGATTTTAGTGAGAATTTTCCAGAAAAAAAGTTATTCGTGATGGAATTTAAGCGTGATAGTGTGACTTCTTTATATTTGGTTGGAAAACCGCAAGTGGCTATCGTAAGAGCACTCCAGCATTTAAATGTGAATTAATATTTTGTGTCTCGTACCATCGCTCGTTACCGTGATACTGGTAGCGTATGTCGACGTCAAGGAAGTGGACGGAAGAAATTAGCAACAGCAGCAGAAATGGTTCAAAAAGTAAAGAAGCGACTTGATCGAAACCCGCGTCGCAGTGGCCGAAAAATGGCTCTTGGGCTGAACATATCGCAATATTCCATTCGGCGAATATTGAAAAATGATCTCGGGGTAAAGCTGTTGAAATTTCAAAAAGTGCAAGAACTTACACCGCAACGGAAAGAAAATAGACTCAAAAGAGCTAAAGTGTTGCTTCGCTTGGTGTCGTGAACTGCCGAATTTGGTTTGGTTTTCTCCGATGAGAAAACATTCGTTGTCCAGCAGTTTGTAAACAAACAAAATGATTGTGTTTACTTGCCAAAGAGCTCAGCTGAAAATGTGCACCTTCGATTGACCACCAGAACTCAAGCGCCAGCCAAGGTGATGGTGTAGGCCTCCATAACAGCCGATAGTCGCTCTTCGGTCATATTCGTATTAATCGACCGTGGCATCAGAATAAATTCCGAATATTATCGCGAAAATATTCTGGAGGGTGTATTAAAGCCTTGGGTGAGCAAACAATTTGGCCGCAGACCTTGGACATTCCAACAGGACTCAGCATCATCGCACTCAGCACGCGAAACCCAAAAACTTGCCTAAGAGGTCAACAGAAAGTATGCACCTTCGGTTGGCCACCAGAACTCAAGCGCTGGCCATGGTGATGGTGTGGTCCGCAATAACTCCGCCCGTATTAATCGCCCTTGGACATTCCAACAGGACTCAGCACCATCGCACTCAGCACGCGAACCCCAAAAATGGTTACAAAATGAAGTTCCTCGCTTCACTTCCAGCGCACAATGGCCACCAAAATCTCCGGATACCAGTCCTTTGGAGTATTGTGTCTGGAGTATTTTGGAAAGCAAAGTTGGCACTAGCAAATACCGAAGTGTCGATCACCTCACCTCGGCTTCTCCGGGAATGGGCCAAAGTACCACAGAGCAAAATTTGGGCAGCGTGTGACGGTATCATTGGCCATTTGAAGGCCCTAATTCGTGCCAAAGTAAGATATCTGGTACCAAATATCATTGTGGTCGAATGCATATTGCGAATGTGAGACACTTTAACACCAAATCCGATGAAGCATGTATATGGCAGCTATAGCTATATCTGAATTGAATTTCACCAAATTTAATGTACATGCTTCTAGACTGAATTCGGTCGGATATGCAAAAAAGTTCAGGTTATTTGGACTGATATTGGTCATTTTGAGTACAATTAACCAGAAATCGGTTATGGATATATATGGGAGATATATCCAAATCTGAACCGATCTTGACAAAATTTGAAACACTTATAACAGAGCTGTATCTGATATCTGGTACCAAAGCTCATTGTTGTGGAATGCAAATTACGCTTTTGAGTGACTTTAAACCCCAAATTGTATGAAACATATATATGGGAGCTATAGCTATATCTGAACCGATTTACACCAATTTTGAAGTACTGGTGTATAGGATGTATTCAGTCGTAAATGCCAAAATTCAGTCCATTTGGGATGATATAGCCATTTCCTGCACAATAAGCCTGATGTCGGATAAAGGTATATATTAGGGGCTATATCCTAATCTGAACCGAAAATTTAACAGGGGTATTTTTGAGCAGTGTGTGATGTCCGGTACCAAATATCATTTATCTGAAGTGCATATTACGCATGTGAGGGCCTTAAAACCCCAAATCGAATGAAATGTATATGTGGGAGCTACAGCTATATCTGAACCGATTTTCTACAAATTAGATTTACTTGCTTCTAGACTGAATTCGGTCGGATGTACCAAAATACAGATCATTTGGGCTGATATTGACCATTTGGTGCACAATTAACCTGAAATCGGTTAAAGTTGTATGGGAGCTATATCTAAATCTGATCCGATTATCACAAATTCAATAGGGTTCGTTCTTGGGCCAAACAAATATTGTTTGCAAAATTTCATCTTAATCGGATAATAAATGCGACCTGCATTTTGTTCACAAGTATACATGGACGGACAGACACCCATAAATCGACTCAGAAAGTGATTCTATGAAGATCCTCCAAAGTACCTATGGGTCTGCCTCACTTCCTTCTCCATGTTACAAACAAACGCACAAGGACATAATACCCTTACCACTATGTGGTGTGGGGTATAAAAATGATTTTTTTTTGCCTCAAAAACATTCCATCGGCCCCATAGTGCAAGAAAAAAAGAAAATTACGAATTTCCCTCACGTAACAATGTTGGCGCATTGAATGTCAACAAATAATTTTATTCTCCATTTTCTCCAAGTTGATGTGAATTTTTGAATTAAATCTGTATTTTATTTGCATATATTTTCAGATATTTTGAAATACCTACAGAAGCAGTAACCCCAACAATCTAAACATCTACGCAGGACTTCAATGGAAGCCAACAAAAATTGAATGCAGATTGAAAATATAAAATTCAATTAGTTGTTAAATAGTTAAGAGACAACATTTGTCGCCTACACACAAAGCGGAAAAAAATAAAAATAGGCAACGTATTCCACGAAAATGAAACTTTTCAAATAAACAAGCTAATCAAAGAGCATTCGACAAAGAAGTACCAACTAAATTCTTTTAGGCAACAACAGCTTAAACAAGTGTTTTAGTGTTTGAGCGATGGCAACGTTTGTCATTCAATTGAGAGCTACAAATATTGATACTGTTGATTTCAATCAATAGTTTGATTGCAACAACTACATCCGCAAAGGAAAAAGGGTTGTTCAACAACGACGGCAACAGCAACAACAACTTCGTTTGGTATATGTTAGCTTTCCTGTGATTGATGATATTTTTATTGACGTTCTCGTCCGTTGGCTTGACAAACACTACTGCACTACTGCCTCCTTTTGCCCCGTCGTCTCCAAAACCTACACAGCAATAACCTCTGGCACCGGTGATGGCAAACGACGAAATTTGATGGACAAGTAGTATTGCTGTTGCTGGTCTCCTCTAAGCCTGGCACCGGTTCCTGCCAGTCGCAACATGACCGATGTGTCAACGACACAACAGCAAAGCAACGCACTGACAAGTGCAAAATCAATAAAAGCCGCCAACGAAATATGTCACTCAACAGGCAACGGCACCACTTCCAAGAACCCCGGCAAACCCAAAACATTAGCGAATGGTTCAGCAGGGCGGGCAAGCGTTGCCACCACACAAGGCATTAGTAGTCCATATCAAATAGCCAGCCCAAGTAACCAGGTCGAGGAGAGACATTTCACCGCCAACCCCAATTGTAATCGTTCCATCCCCAAAATGTCCAATGCCGGTCTCAAAAGTCTTACATCACCCACCGCCACCAATACAACCACAACGCAATCACTGTTATCAAATGCAATGTCCGCCAATCAAACACCATCCAGCCCGTCCCCCGCCAACACAACTAATCAATTCATAGAACCACCACAGCCACCATTACCTGCCATTGCCACCTGCCCCCCATACGCCTTAGAAAGTGACAGCCACAGTACGTCCATTTCATCATCTGAGGCCATTGTTGCCTCCTCGCCATCAACGACTGTAATTAGTAGTAGTTGCAGTGGTGGCAGCATCGGCAGTAACAGTCTTGTACCAGTCCAGCATCCTCCGGCCAAGTCGCCCATGCAACATGAAGTCACGCAACAGGATGTCGATGAAGTGGCACGTTTGTACGAAGAAAAGCCGGAGGCCTTCGAGAAATGGCTAATGGAGCGGGCACCACCAGAAGCATTGATGCGTCTGCAGGAATTCATCGAAGGACGTAAACATCCGCCCAAACGGCCATCGGTAACATCGGATTTGTTTCAACAATGGATGGCAGCATCGCCCGTGCAGGTATGTAGAACGCTGGGCATTGCTTAGCTAATAAGCTTCTTATTGAAATGTTGTTTTTTTTGCGGGTTGGTAGGACAGAAACTTTTTAGTTTGAAAAAAAAAAATGAAATTTGTAAAATTCATGTAAAAGCAATTAAAGTTTCGAAATGAGTTTTGTATTACATAAGAATTTAATTTCAAAAATTAAAAAAAAAGAGATTAAGCTCGTCGTCCTTTTCTTAGCCTCTTTAATTGTCAGAACAAAGGCATTGCAGTTTGATCAGGGAAAAAGTATGGCAGTGACACCAATAATCTGCCGTTTTGATTAAATTTGATTAAAAGGATGCTTTAGCAGAGGCCTATTTACATTACTAGGAATAAGGATTGACCGTTAGTTAAACTTCGTACTTTAAGGGTTTGAAATGTTCAAAATTTCAGTAAAAATTTCTTTCTTGGAAATTGGGTTTTTGATACTTGAAAGGTAAAATTAAAATTTATAACATAATTATTGAGTGATTCTTAATACCTAGAAATTTGGAACTTTGCTTGAGAGTCACTCTTACCAAAGTTTTCAAAATTTAAGGGAATGGGTTCAAATATTACTATAACGGTACTAAATAGTACAAGATTATTCAGAACTACACCAATATATTATATTAAACAGATAGTGTCTGAGGTTATACATCTGTCGGCAAAACCGACCGAAGTGTCAAAGGAATATATATTTACACAAAATTTCTCAATAAATCTCAAAATAAGCCATATATGTATATTGGTGCAATGAAATTCAAAAATGTATGAACTAAGAGTTAAAATTTTGCCTTTGCTTTTCATAAGTCAAAGTAAGCAAGTAAAATAACTGTTAGTTCGGCCAGGCCGAACTTCTAAACAACCTCCACCATTTGGAACGAATTTCTCAATTTTCAATGAAATAAAATCCGTTAAAAATTCTGTTAAAATCTTAAAAAAAATACTAAATGTAGCAATTATATTAAAGTCTATATGACTGCATAGGCAAATTTTGCCATAAGCCATTACAATATTCAAATGCGAAACTTGAAAAAATCGTTGAATAATGTAGCTAAAATCACCAAAATACCGAATATAGGGAGATACCATTATATGGGGGCTATACGAAGAAGTGGACCTACACAAACAATTGTCTGTCTAAGGCTTTAGTATCCATTACGAACTTCAAATACCATATTTAAAACAATTCCGGTAAATAATGTCGCTTAAATCATAAAAGTACCGAAAGTATCGAGGTACCATTATATAGGGCTATATGAAGACGTGGACCTACAGGGTGAGATAAAATAAAACTGTAACAAAGTCAAACGCCATAAATTTTACATTTCTTTTTTTTAATTTAATGCAAAAATGTTGGATTTAATTTAAAAGCAAAAATGTTGGAAATAGCATCAAATTTTAGAATAAGTTTAGATTTGTTCGAATTGGTCACCTTTGTCCCGAATTATGGCCTTTAAACGGCCAACGGTATTTTGGCCCATTCCCGGCGAAGCGCTTGCTTGAGGTGATTGACACTTTGGTATTTTTCAGTGCCAAACTTGCTTTCCAAAATACTTCAGACACCATAGTCCAACGGATTGGTATCTGGAGATTTTGGTGGCCATTGTGCGCTGGAAATGAAGCGAGGAACCTCATTTTGTAACCATTCTTGGCGCGTGCTAAGTCCTGTTGGAATGTCCAAGTTCTGCGGCCAAAATGTTTGCGTGCCCAAGACTGTAATACACCCTCCAAAATATAATAGTAATATTCGGCATTTATTCGGATGCCAGGGTCGATTAATACGAGCGGAGAGCGGCCATCGGCTGTTATGGCGGCCCACACCATGGCCGGGGTTTGAGTTCTGGTGGCCAACCGAAGGTGCACATTTTCAGCTGACCTCTTTGGCAAATAAACACGATTATTTTTTTTTACAAACTGCTGGACAACGAATGTTTTCTCATCGGAGAAAACCAAATTCGGCAGTTCCCCCCTTATGAGCCTATTTTCTTTCTGTTGCGGTGTAAGTTCTGGCACTTTTTGGAATTTCAATGGCTTTACCCCGAGCTTGTTTTTCAATATTTGCCGAATGGAACATTGCGACATGTTCAGCACAGGAGCCATTTTTCGGACACTGCGATGCGGGTTTCGATCATGTCACTTCTTTACTTTTCGAACCATTTCAGCTGATGTTGCTGTTTTCTTCCGTCCACTTCCTTGACGTCAGGCTACGCCACCAGTATCACGGTAACGAGCGATGATACGCGACACAAGAGATTTATTCACATTTAAATGCTGGAGTGCTCTAACGATAGCCACCTGTGTTTTTCCAGCCAAACTTAAAGAAATCACACTATCACGCTTGAATTCCATCACGAATAACTTTGTTTCTGGACAATTCTCAACAAAATGATTTTGTATGCTTGCAAACAATATAATGAGCTATCACTGGAATAATTTTAGTAGCTGTCGGACGAGTGGCTTAGAAATTACAGCAGTCTGAAGTGGGTTGCAGTTTTTTCATCTCACACTGTTTATGGATGCTATATCCAAATCTTAGCCGTTCTCTATAAAATTTGGCAGAGTTATTTCCAAGATCTATAAGATGTCTGGTACCAATGATCATTGTTGTGGAATGCATATTACGTATGTGAGGGACGTAAGACCCCAAATCGAATGAAACATATATATGGGAGCTATAACTATATCTGAACCGATTTTCTACAAATTTTATTTATTTGCTTCGGTGGGATGTACCAAAGTACAGGTCATTTGGAGTTATATTAGCTATTTGGTGCACAATTAACCCGAAATCGGTTGAAGTTATATGGGAGCTATACAGGGTTGCCCATATTCGACGGACCTTTGGGCCCTTTGGACCCATTCCAATCGACGAGGCTTGTCCGTAGGCAACATTCTTTGCGTCAATTGAATTTTGTACGGGAACAAATGCAAATCAATGCGAATAATCCGTTGTAAAGTGGACCGAGCCATGCCCAACTGCTGAGAACGCCGTTTTTGGGATGTTCTTGGGGACCTCTCAACACTGGCTCGTACGGCAGCGATATTCTCGGCCAATCGCTTTGGTCGACTTTTATATGGCCTCTTCGGATTAGAAAGAGCCTTACCAGTCGAAAATTTTTCGTATAAACGCTTAATGGTGTTCTTAGAAGGCGCACTTCTCACATTTTTTTTCACAATTGACTTCTTCTGTTGAATGTAAATTTCAACTATTTCAGAGCGCTCGCGTGGCGTGTATTGGTGCATGGTAAAAATCTGCTTGGACTGACGCTTCAAACGCGGTATGTCAATAAGCGATGTGACATCTCTGTCAAAAGTTATGGCGTTGCCAGATGGGTCCGTCGAATATGGGCAACCCTGTATCTAAATCTGGTCCGATTATCACCTATTCCAATAGAGTCCGTCCTAGGGCCAAACAAATACTGTTTTCAAAATTTCATCTCAATCGGATAATAAATTCGACTGGCACTTTGTGGACGGACGGACCATTTGAAAGTAACGAGAATATTATATGGTCGCCACCTTCCCACTTTTATCCTTCCCGTACTGGTTACAAAATATTTATAGATCAAGGTTATTTCTTCTCAGCAATTGAAGGCTTGAAAGAAATAAACAACAAAATTTATTAACATACAATTTAGAACTCACAATTAAAATATAAACCTTATTGTGTGTATATAGGTTATGTTGAGAAGTTACAGTGATCCTCTTGCAACCATACCATGATCTATTAAAAGAAAGCGGATATATCGCTTATGGTTATCAACTAGGATATTTGCAATGTTAAATAATTTTGAACGTTTAAATTACAATGTCCATCTACCACTATTAGAAGGAAATCTGTCAATTTGTAAACGTCAAAGCAATTGCAGGCATGTTCAACACGCCACTTCAAAATTCTTAAGCAATAAATGTTGCCGTAAATAAACGGCGCCTTTGTAATGAAAATATTTAGGACCTCTTAAAAATGTTTCGTGTTTTTCATATCAAGAGTGCCAATTAATTAAGGACGTTATAAAAGATGTGTTGCCGCAACATGACTATTTGAGTGTGTGTGTGTGTGTACATACATGAATGTATGTGCATGTAAACGTTTGACGGTGGCGTGCATAAAAGTTGAGTATAAAATGAACATTCTAGCACGTTCACAGTCTTCGTGTCTTCTATGCCCGTTTCGTTCTTTTGTAAATGTTCATAAGCGAAGTGCTTACATTTTTAAGTACTTCAACGAGTTAAAGGGGGGATGGTAACCCACGCTGCGTGAATGAAATACAGGACTAATGATTGATTACTTTTTTGACAAGGTGTCTTAAAATAAGTGGGAGAAGGGGGTCTGCTATTAGAAGTTATGATGGTATATTCAAAGATAAATGTCCGAAAATAGGTATTTACATTCTATAGAGATTCCAATTAATGGATTGTTTTTAAAAGAATTATAGTTCTTTAGATTTTAAAACAATTCATCCACATTTTCTGTGGCACCCATCCCATTGCCGCAACAATTCCATAGAGAACCGCCAAACTAAATGAACAACAACGAAAATGAAAAGTAAGTTAAGAATTCAAATGCGGAAAGGCAATGCATGTTTACAATTTTACATGGGTTACAGTTTGCTTGAATGTAAAAGTTGCATGGCAGTCGGTTAGCATGTGTTAGTTTGTGTCTGTGTGTGAGAGTGTATGCACCATCGTAATTACACTATGCTCGAACAAGGACTGGCTTGCGTGTAGCCATGTCAAGCACGTACAAGTTTTGTTACTAAGTCCTTTTTGGTGGAATTTTATTTTCTTGAACAATATGTTGCCAGGAAACCAGTTAGCTTTTGTTATCAAAGTAATTTGATGGCTAGTTTTTTTATTGTGAATAAACCTAAATATATTATCCGTTTTGTTTTAAGAGGCAACATTTGAGGTTAAGAGAAATAACGTAAGCGTAAGTGATTTAATGATTTAAACAATCAAACTTGGCCGGGTATGAATGTTTAATTATAGCT